GTCGTAAAATTACGAGAATAAAGTCGTAAAATTACGAGAATAAAGTCGTAAAATTACGAGAATAAAGTCGTAACATTACGAGAACAAAGTCGTAACATTACCAGAACAAAGTCGTAAAATTACGAGAATAAAGTCGTAACATTACAAGAACAAAGTCGTAACATTACCAGAACAAAGTCGAAAAATTACGAGAATAAAGTCGTAACATTACGAGAACAAAGTTGTAAAATTATGAGAATAAAGTTGTACAATTACGAGAATAAAGTCGTAATATTACTGAAATAAAGTCGTAAAATTATGAGAATAAAGTCATAATATTAAGAGAATAAAGTCCTAAAATTACGAGAAACGAGTTGTATTTTATGTCAAAACTTCCAAGAAGCCCTTTCTTCCCTAAAAGGAGGAATGTGGAGCATCATGTGAAGTTATATTTTAGCATCGGTTTGATAAATCAGGAAATCTTTTAGCAGCAGCATCAAACTGGGCAGGATGTCAAAGTGGACTCTGGTTGCTGATTGGTGGAGCTGGTCGATGTCATCTGCTGGGCGGAGCTCCAAGCTTTCTTTCTGAAACAGATTGTGGTTTGATGACTTCATTCTCGTAAAAGTGCAACTTCATTTTCGTGATGTTATGACTTTATTCCCAAAATTAAAAAAAAATCTCTTAACCTGGCCCTAATACTCCGTCGTAACAAACAGAGTCAATTATTGATTCTAAAAATAGGAACTAAAGGTTTTAAATTACTGAGTGTATTGCAGCCTAAACACTAACCAGGATAATTTCTTGGTATTAAACTGTTTTATTTAGGCAATTATACAGAATAATTATGGGAAATGATGCAGAAAGGTGCTGAAACAACAGTTTTTACTTTATTACACAGTAATCCTGGATTTCACAAACATTAGAGACAAACTGTAGAACTTTAAATGTAAAACCAACATATCAGTCTTTTAAAAGCTTTATTAACACCCGTCGCTAAAGAATGACAAACTTATTGCTGCTCTCCTTCTGCATTGTTATCTCCTTATTCCTGAGCTGTAACAGGAAGTGCTCCTCAGGCTCATCTTTCGATTTAAAGTAAAAAAAGGAAAGAAGGATAAAAGTTTGCCTTCATTTTGGAAATCAGATAAGAACGTTTATCTCTGCGTAATCTACCTTTAAAGTCTTTCACAGAGATCTGCTTTACAGACGTTTATAGAAAAATAGCAGTAAGAACACAAACATTTTTGGAGGTAAATCACAGGAAGGAGTCTTTCTTTAACTGTTCACATATTGTCCAGGGAAGCTTTGACTGCACATGAAGTGAGGGTCCATGGAGGCCACTTTGGCAGCGATAAAGGAGTGAATACAGTGGAGGACTGCAGTTAGGTTGGCAAACTCCAGCTCCTGAGAGAAAAATATAGAAGGAAGAGAAGAAGCGCTGGTTTATACACAAACATCAAGATTTCAGCTTTTTTTGAGATTTTTCCTTAAAGGAAAAGTCCGCTCATATTCAGAATTCAAACTTCTGAAAGTACTTTGAATATGAAATTATTCCATCCTGTTCAATAAATGATCAGTGTTTTTAAATCAGAGTAATTTTCATTTGAATGTGCTTTACTGGAGGCAACCATGTTTGTCAAAGAACACTACTGACACCTACTGGTTTGTAACGTCACGGTGCGGTATCGGCTGTTGATCAAGTCCCAGTGCTGTATCTGGTGTTTGTCACAACGC